ATACCCAGACTTATGCAAACCAAATTTATTCTTATCAGGCTTAAAACATAATGTTCAACATCATATCATAACACATGGTCAACCTGTGCATTCTAAAGCAAGACAGTTGGATCCTCGAAAGCTTGCAGTAGTTAAGCAAGAGCTTCAATTCATGTTGGACAATAACATAATAAGACCTTCGAGTTCTCAATGGGCAAGTCCTCTGCATGTAGTGCTAGAAAAAGATGGTACTCTTTGCCCATGTGGAGATTATAGACAGCTAAACGATATAACAGTTCCTGATAGATAGCCTATTCCTAGGATAGAGGACTTCCATCATATTTTAAAAGGTACGAATATTTATTCCAAAATAGATTTATTTAAAGCCTACTACCAAGTGCCCATTGCCGATAAAGACAGGTGTAAAACTGCTATTATTACTCCTTTTGGATTATATGAATTTAATGTTATGAGTTTTGGTTTGAAAAATGCACCAGCAACGTTCCAATGATTTATAAATACCAGTTCTTCTCTGGTCTAAATTTTGCTTTTACCATACTTAGGGATGACATTCTTGATAGCATCTACTAGTGAAGGAACAACACAAAATCCATTTGAAGCTTGTGTTTGAGAGATTAAATGCCTTATGGACTCCGCATTAATGTTTCCAAATCCATCTTTGGCACACAAGAAATAGAATTCTTGGGTTATTTAATTACTCCTCAAGGATCACGACCTTTACCTGAGAAAGTCCAAACTATTGTTAATTACAAGCTTCCCAACAACCATTCACGAACTCAGAACATTCTTAGGCCTTATTAATTTTTATCGGCGATATTTAAAAAATACATCAAAAAACCAATCTCTCCTACACGACTACCTTAAAGGAGCCCGAAAAAAAAAGATAAATGGAAAATTCAGTGGACCGATGAAGCTAAGGAACAATTTCAGCGATGCAAAGATGATTTAGTCAATACAACACTCTTATCATTCCCGAATCATGAACTACCACTGTCATTATATACAGACGCTTCAGACTCGGCGATTGGAGCAGTACTTCAACAATTTGTAGATAACGTATGGAAACCTGTAGCATTTTATTCCAAAAAACTAAACGAAGCACAAAAGCATTACAGTACTCACGATAGAGAGTTACTTGGAATTTACCTCTCCATCAAACACTTTAAATTTTTACTGGAAGGAAGAACATTTACAATATTCACCGACCATAAACAAAAGCCAGAAAAAGCATCACCTCGTCAACTTAGACATTTACAATACATCTCTCAATTTTCAACTGATATACAGCACGTAGAAGGCCTAGACAACATCGTAGCAGATACTTTATCGAGAATTGAAGAAATTTCTTTGATCGACTATGACAAAATTGCAGATGAACAAATTATGGATAAAGAATTGCAAAATTTGAAGACATCAGCAATTTCCCTGAACTTCAAGCAGTATACACTACCTTCTGGGAAGTTTTTGTGGTGTGAAACTTCAACGAATAATACCAGACCATATATTCCAGACAGTTATCGCAAGAAAATATTTTATCAAATGCATAACGTAGCCCATCCTGGCATTAAGTCATCTGTAAAACTCTTATCGTCTAAATTTATTTGGCCAAGTATCCGTAAAGATGTACAGCTTTGGACTCGATCTTGCATGGCTTGCCAAAGAAGTAAAATTAATCGACACACAAAATCAAGTTTCGGTGATTTTCAACTGCTTTCAGAAAGATTTTGTGACGCGCATATTGATCTTATTGGACCTCTACCACCATCAAATGGGAATATTTACTGTCTCACTTGCGTTGAGCGGTACTCTAACTGGATGGAAGTGATTCCACTTAACAACATTTCAGCAGACACAGTTGCTAAAGTATTTTATTCTAATTGGATTTCAAGATTTGGGACTCCCTGTCGCCTAGTCACAGATCGTGGACCGCAGTTTAGTTCAGAGTTGTTCAGCAACCTATCAAAAATGTGTGGAATAAAATTACAACATACAACGGTTTACCACCCCCAAGCAAAAGGGAAGCTTGAGCGCCTTCATAGATCTCTCAAAACCGCGCTTATGGCACACAATAGCCTGGCTTGGACTGAAACACTTCCAACTGTTCTTCTTGGCTTACGCACAGCTATGCAAGAAGACTCTGCATATACCATTGCTCAAATGGTTTATGGACAAAATATACGGTTACCTGGAGAATGTTTCCACGATAGCACAACTCCTACACAACCTGATATTTTTGTCAAACAGCTAAAAGAAACCATGGAAAAAATTGGATCAAGAACAGTATCCGATAAATATGTCCAAAAAATATTCGTCCCTAAAGACTTGAAAACAACATCGCATGTGTTTATTCGCAAAGACAGAGTTAAAAAGCAATTAGAACCCCCCTTATGATGGTCCTTTTCAAGTGGTTGACAGAAAAGAAAAATATTTTACAGTAAAAATTAATCACAAAGATGTTACAGTGTCTATTGATAGATTAAAGCCTGCATATTTCTTGCAAACACCAGACATTACTACGATGCAACCAACAACGTCAATGAGACAACCTGTCAAACCTCCAACAGACTTACCTCCTAAAATTAACAAGTTTCCTGCCAAACAGTCGCGTGTAGGGCGGACAATAAAACCCCCTGTGCGATTTCGGGATTAGCATTTATATGTATCAATAAAATGTTTTTTTTGTTTGTTGTTGTTTTTGTAAATAGTGTGTTTTAAAGGTAATATTATGCTCTACCGTAACTTAATAACTGGGAAGGGAGTACTGTTGCGGCTTGAACTTATACAGAAACTTTAAATACTGATTAATATCGTTTTATTTTTTTTTTTTTTGTTGTTTACAGAATGGCAACAGAAAGATTATTCAATTTTTGTTGTTTTCAGAATGGCAACAAAAAGATTGTTCAATTTTTGTTGTTCTTGGAATGGCAACAAAAGAGTACTAATGATATTGTTCTAAAGAGTTGTTTACATTTTGCTAAAAACGAAATAAAGATTATTCTTGATTTAAAACGTGGATTGACGTTATTTGATGAAACAGAGTTGTAAAAATAAAAATAAATTTGGAGTCAGAGCCAATATTGCTATCCGGAATAGGAATTTGTACTATTTTGAAACTGAAGTTTGATTTAAGAATCCTGAGGTCTTCATCCTCCTGGCAGTCTGATACAACTGTATAATCAATTGGAGCTAGGATAGCGGTGGTGTCGATTCTCGATAGCGTGTCAGCTAGAATGTTTTCTTCTCCAGAAATGTAGCGTATGTCTGTAGTGAATTCGGCAGTGTAATTCAAGTGCCGTTACTTGTTTTGGAGATGCTTTATCTAAATTCTGGTGGAAGGCGAAAGTAATAGGTTTATGATCAGTGAAGATAGTAAATGCTCGTTCTTTCAGAATGTGTCTAAAATGCTTCACCGCTAGGTAGATTGAAAATAGTTCTCTATCGTATGGACTGTAACTTCTCTGTGTTTGTAATAGGGATCGGGAAAAAACGCTTAGCGGCTGTTTTTCATTATTGGATAGTTGATGAATCACGGCACCAATGGCAGAATCAGATGCATCTGTAGCCAGGGTGATCTGCGCCGTTTCATTGGGGTGAACTAAAATAACAGAGTTGCATAGTGCGCTATTTATATCAGTGAAAGACTTCTGTGCATCTTCGGTCCAAATTTTTTGCTGTTTTAATTCACTCCTTTAAGCAAAATTGTCAGGGGCTGTTGTAGTTTGGCGCAGTTTGGAATGAAACAATGGTAAAAATTCACCATACCCAAAAATCTGCGTAAGCTTATGAATGATTCTGGTTTAGGATATTCTTTAATTGTATCGACTTTCGATGGAAGAGGCTTGATTCCTTCCGTTGATATTTCATATCATAAAATTCAACTTTGCTCAGGCCGAATTTGCATTTAACAATGTTTATGCAGAGTCCATATTTATTGAGTCTTTGGAAGATTATTTCAAGATGTTTTTTTGTGAGTTTCCACGTCTGGAGAGGAAATGAGAATGTTGTTGAGGTAGCAAAATACAAAGTCTACGCCGCTAAGCACTGTGTTCATAAACCTTCGGAAGGTTTGTGCAACGTTGTGTTAAGCCAAATAAGGAAATTCAAAAAGTCGGAAAGGTATTATGATGGCGGTCTTCAGAATATCAGCTTCGTGAACAGGAATCTGTTAGTAGGCTCTTGTCAAATCCATGGTTGAAAAAATTGCTTTTCCATGCAGAATATGAGTACAGTCCGTTAGAAATGGTAATGGGTAGTGATCTGGCACAGTATTTGCGTTAAGGCCACGGTAATCGTCACATGGTCTCCAGTCACCGGATATTTTTAAAGTGAGGTGTAATGGTCTGCAGTAATCCAGCTGCTTTTGGATGGTCTGCAGAGACCTTCTTGCAGCATATAATCGAAGTTCTTTTTCGTGTCAATCAACTTTTCTTGAGAAAGTCTTCTGACTTTAAAGGATACAGGCTTACCTTTGGTTTCGATGTAATGTTGCACATCATGTTCTTTAATTTTATTGTTTTTATGTTGGGTTTAAGTAAGTTAGGACATTTGTTTAGGATGGCTCTGTATGTTGTTTGAAAAGTATTAGCAATGAATTTAGGAGTGACGCTGTTGTTACACAAAGTACCTTTAGTTGTTAATGAGGTGGTGCCGTCCATTAATTTTCTGTTTTTACTATCGACTAACAAATTAAATTGTGAAAGAAAGTCTATTCCCACGATAGGTTTATTAACATCCGCAATAATAAAAGGCCAGTTGAAAGATCTGCGTAGCCCTAAATATACATCTAATAATTTTTGACCATATGCTTTAATTGTTGTACCGTTAGCTGCGAATAACTCAAGCTTAGTCACAGTTCTTTTTTCCGATGGTGATGGTGGAATAACCGATATTTCTGCTCCAGTGTCAATTAAAAAATGGGGTGCTGATGCAAAATGAGTGACGAATATATAAACGACTCAGCTGTACTCCTTGACTTTCTGTCGTCATCGAAAGCCGGGGATTCAGTTTTCCTGTTTTGGGACTTGGTATTTGCATGGTGGAATGCACTTATACGCTCTCTCACCAAAGCGTTGATGAAAATAACAATTATTTGGGTCATTGTTATTTTTGAAACGATTTCTAGAGTTCGACCTTTGTGGACTGGAATTTCTATACCTATTCGTTTCTGATATCTGCAGTGTCAAGTTTGATATCTGTTTCTGTAAATCTTTGGCTATAATGTTATCAGATGAGGAAGAAACAATGCACGCTACTTGGGGTGGATTAGGATTTAATTCCCATATTTTGTCATCCATTATAGACAATTTGGACAAATCATCACTGGTCACAGATAAAATGCTCCGCATATTAAGTGGTAGTCGTTGCATCCACAATGTTTTCAAAAATTCATCTGGCACTTTCTCAGCCGCCAAGTTACGCATTTCGCAGAGGAGTTGAGATGGTTTCTTATCACCCAGTTCTAATTCGGTCGGAAGTTTCTGGGTTTTCTGTGTTTCAGAGTCCGCAAAAATTTCATTATAACTCTTTTTAATGGCCGGATATTTACCATTGTCTGGTGGTTTGGTGAGAATATCAGAGTATTTTGTCATAATCGTATTTTGTCTGATCAGCTGTAATTCCAGCATTGCAGAATTGGGCTTCAATCTGAGGAAGTCATGTTTTGGGATCAGGTTTCCAAAAAGGAGGAATTTTGATGCTGACCTTGGCGACAGTCGCAGAATATTGCATTACTTTTGGTTTGTTTACTTTTATCTCCTTCAGCCATAGTAGAATTAGGCTTAACGGAAGTAGAGCTACCTTTATACAATTTCTTTATTTTTTATAGCTTAAGCTTTTCCGTCTAAAGTTTGCTTAGTAAAATCTAGTTAATTTATTCTTAACACATTTCATACATTCTGAAAATTCTAATTGCATACATTACCGCTTAAGACATATTGCAATATAGAACAAAATTAAAAATCTTAAAGTTGACTTACCATTTGAGAAGTATTTCAGCCCCACATACGCTCGGAATTTATATTTCACAGACGCATAAAAATAATTGAATCATCAAGATTGATGGTTCGATTGTTTGCACCATGCGTACCAGAAGCACTTCGAACTCGAAAGTATCATTCAATCCACTGTCGAACTCAGAAAAAACTGCGGAACGTTAAATTGGGTAAGTAGCTGCTTACGACGCTGTCCGTAACATATATTCGATAACAGGTGAACTATTTATAAAGTGCGTATAATGTTAATGACATCTCGTTATATTACAGAAACACCATACGTTCTTTTTCCATCTTAGACGTCATAAATTGAATTGGATCGCATCCGGGTAAACCAGTGTGGAAGTTTGGTACACAGGGAATGTTAAACACCGTTCCAATAAGATTAATATTTATTTACATTTTCTGGAAATAGAATTACACAGACAGAAAATGAGTCATTGTTCTTTTCCTACTTGAAGGCTTAGTGTTGCCACTCTGGGGAAAAGAAAATTGCATGCGAAGAGTTTCACATATGGGGCTTCAATAACGCAAATGATGTCGCCACAATAACTATTGCGTAATATTGTGATATTACGAGGGCCATCCAGGAAGTAGATTACGTTTCCGTCTGTGTCCGCTAGGGGCGGGGCTAGCGCGGCCATCTTGGGGTCAGAGCGTTGCGCAGCTCAGTCTGCATCTAGCCGTGCTAGTGAGAGGTTCGTGCTGTGCTCCGTTCAGATACTGTGACGGTTTGAAATGTCTGCGTTAATTGAAAATCCCGCGAGCTGCGAGGTGCGCTCAGTAATAAGGTTTCTGACTGCAAAAAACTGTAAACCGATAGAAATCTATCGGCAGCTTCGTGAAGTGTATGGGGACAACATTATCACTGAAGGTGGAGTGCGTCAGTGGGTCATAAGATTTCAAAATGGCCGAACCAATGTTCACGACGAAGATCGAAGTGGGAGACCCAGCATAGTGACCGCCGAACTTCTCGAAAAAGTCGATGCTAAAGTCCGTGAAAATCGAAATTTCACAATAACGGAACTTTCTTTGAGTTTTCCACAAAAATTTCGCGAAGTTTGTTGCACGAAATCATCAGCGAAAAGCTTGGTTACCACAAGTTTTGTGCAAGATGGATTCCAAAAATCTTGACAGAGGACCACAAAAATCAGCGAATGGCTGCAGTGTTGAACTTTTTGGACGCTTACCATAAGGATGGTGACTCTTTACTCGATCGCATCGTTACTGGTGACGAAACATGGGTGAAACATGTGAACTGTGAAACGAAATTGCAATCAATGCAGTGGGGGCACACAAGTTCTCCCCCAAAACCCAAGAAATGCATGCAAACAATGTCGGCAAGGAAGATGATGGCGACTGTTTTTTGGGACAGAAAAGGTGTAATTTTGGTGGTCTTCCTGGAAAGAGGCACTACAATAAACTCTCAAAGGTATTGCCAAACTCTCCAAAAACTCAGAAGAGCAATTCAAAACAAGCGCAGAGGAATGTTGAGCTCTAAGATCTTGTTGATTAACGACAACGTCCGGCCCCACACGGCAAATGTCACTCGTAAAGTTCTTGAATCTTTTAAGTGGGAGTTGTTTCCTCATCCGCCGTACAGTCCCGACCTGGCACCGAGCGACTTCCACCTATTCCCAGCAATGAAGAAGTGGCTGGCTATGCAGCGTTTGATGACGACGCACAGCTGCAAGAAGAGGTAACGAAGTGGTTGAAGGCGCAGGCGGCCGAATTTTTCGACGAAGGAATTTCCAAGCTCGTACATCGCTACGATAAATGCCTTAATTTGTATGGTGACTATGTAGAAATGTAGTATTTGAGTGTGGCTTTCATCTGTATATAATAAAATTTGTTTCCTATACTTTGTTTATTTTTTTATTCCAAAACGTAATCTACTTTCTGGATATCCCTCGTATTTGAATAACTTAGAGGAAAAATCCAACGTTTTGTTATATTTCTAGTGAAAAGTTAATAACTTTCATTAACATTTTACCGAACTTGTGCATTCAATCTAATACAAACCCGTACGCTCGCAACAGTATTATCAAAATGGGATGAGGCCTTGCGTGTGTATTGCCGAAATCATCTCCAACGACGTGGCCCATGTATTCCGCAAGCTCTGCATGATTTAGTGCACATATTCGAAGATACAGGCTGCACCTGTGATAAACCGCGGCTGCGGACGGCCAAAAGTTTCTGAGTACGTTTTTTACGGAAGTGCATCACACAGTGACTGCAGGACTCAGAGAAACAGCAAGAAGCACAGCGCGTGTGTTGGATATTCCGAAGCCAACGGTCCTCAAGGTACTACTGTCGGTTCTCCACATGTTTTCCCTACCGGTAAACAGCGCGTCCAGATGTTGTAGCTGGGGGACCCATAGCAACGTCTGAACTACGCAAATGAATTTCTAATACGATTTGATACTGATAACGACTGACCACATCGCATACTACGGACGGACGAGGCGCATTTCAACTTAAATGGCAACATTAACACCAAGAATTGTGTGCATTGGGCAGAGATGAATCCTCACGCTGTTGCACCAGTACCATTATTTGACGCCGAAGTGACTGTGTGGTGTGGCATTACAGCCACACTTATTCTCGGCCGTTCTTCTTTGAGGAAGCGACACCGAAGGGCCGTGTAACATGCTCTCAGTATACAGGCTTGCTGCAAAATTATGTACTATCGAAATTGCATAGGCGGAATGCACTCAATGATATCGTTTGGATGCAAGATGGTGCATCTCCACATATAGCGAGGTTTGTTAAATGGGTCCTGGAATAGCATTTTGGTGATCACATCATCTCACGCCATTATCTATTTCCGTGGCCTTCGCGATCCCCCGATCTGACACCGATGGATTTCTGGTTTTGGGGATATTTCAAATCCAGAGTTTACCTGTGCAATCCACAAACCTTGTCTACGGCATGAGATTGCAAACACCCCTCAAGCCATGTTGCGTCCAGCGGTATTGTCCAACGTCTCCCGCCCTATGATGGCACCCGTGTGGAAAATGTTTGATCTAAAATAAAGTCTAAATAAAGGTATTTTTTCGTCCGATATGTGTGTCATAAGTAATCCGTGTCTCTTGTCTCTGTCATATGCAAATTTTCTGCGTGAGCCGAGATCGTGTTTCGTTGGCCGGTTTTTAGAATTTTTATTTTTTTGTATATGCATAACACGTCCGTTTTTAGACATATCGGTACAGTTCCAACGCTATTTAAGATTTTCGCATACGCTGAACATTTTGGGACCGGAAAAAGTTTGATTTGCCATCCGACATTTTCGAGTTTTTGTAACTATAGCCGTAACCGTGAACGCCCTGTGTTGCCATTCACAGCGCGTACCTCCGATATATTTGCAATCTCATCTGGATCGGTTAACCGGAACGGAAGCTAGAAGTGAAGTTGTTGGCAAAACTTCTTTATGACCATCTTGTAAAGCAAGAAATTAAACTACAATTACAGTGAAAGTTTACATCGTGTGTTTTCAACATTAAAATTTTTAGAATACTTTTAAAGATTAATTTGTTTTTCATCAACTCTCCAATCCCCCCTCCCAACAATAACTGATACTGCCCATGGCACAATGCAATATACCACTATTTTCTTCCTAGAGGTTTGCAAAGGGATAAAGCCATTAAACAAGATTCTTTTAAATGGTTCTTTCTTTCAGTTAGATGATTATTCTCTGCACATGATGCATATTTACATGCAATTTATATTCTATATAATTTTCTAGAACTTGGGAAAAGCAGTAAGGCAAAGACTCATTTCAATTGTCAGACTTATTCAAGGTTAAATATAATAATAAAATTAATTTATATATATATATATGTAATATATCAAACTCAGGTGTAATAAATTTTGATCAAAATTCCCAGCAGGAAATTTTGATGGCGTAGAAGTGTTGATCCAGAATGACTAGGAAATTGGAGGCGAAGGCAGATTAGATCTCCATTTTTATTTTCAGTTACACACACGTCGGCATATTAGATGTGCCTATTCCAAAAAGGTTACATTTTTGATAACTTTGTAGCAAGAAAGCAGCAGCAGACAGACAGCAGTATAGTTAGGCCAAAGCGTGGAAAGCAAGTGTGTAATGTTCAGGATGAAATCTTAAGTCAAACTGAGTTAGTTTTGGTTTTCAAAGCATTTTGATTAGATGGTTAATATTGATGTAAAATTATTATTGGCTGCTTGAGTTTTAGTTCAATTTACATCACCAGAATTATGTAAGAGGCATATGACATAGAATAGTCTCGAAATGACGCAGTGCAGAGAGATGTTACTATTTTTAGAATAGAGAAGGGAAATTTAGGGTGCTAATTTAATATTTTATATATTCTTTATTTTTCTTACATATTACCCCCTTCAAAAAGAAAAAGGCATACCGACAGAGAATCCTTTTTAAAGAGAAAGTGTTAAAGCACTAGCAAATGGGGGAAAAAAACCATAAATCATAAAATTTTGATCTTGTAAAGTATAATTTATAAATATAAATTTTTTTAAAATAAATTCTTAATTTTTAGAGTCCTATTGAATTTGTCAGCATTTCAGTCCAAAAGTTTCTTTGGAGAGTTCACATAATCATA